ATGATAAAGGGATCAATTCAACAAGAGGATATAACTTGTAAACATTTATGCACCCAATGTAGGAGCACCTAAATATATTACAATCATAATAGGGGACTTTAACATCCCATTGACATCAATGGATAGACCACTCACACAGAAAATCAACAAGGAAACAGTAGCCTTAAATGACACATTAGACCAGCTGGATTTAATTAATATTTTTAGAACATTTCACCCAAAAGCAACAGAATATACATTCTTTTCAAGTGTACAGGGAATATTTTCCAAGATAGACCACCTATTAGGCCACAAAAAAGGATCAATAAATTTAAGACTGAAATCATATCAAGCATCTTCTTTGATCACAATGGTATGAAACTAGAATCCAATTATAAGGAAAAAATCTCACAGGTAAAGCCAAATGTCCATATGACCCAAAGCAATCTACAAATTCAATGCAATTTATATCAAAATACTAATGGCACCGTTCACAGAACTAGAAAAAATAATCCTAAAATTTATATGGAACCACCAAAAAAAACCCTAAAGAGGCAAGGCAATCTTGAGAAAGAACAAAGTTGGGGGTATCACACTACCCAATATCAAACTATACTATAATACAAGGCTATCATAATAAATAAATAAAAAGCATGGTACCAACATAAAAACATACATACAGATCAACAGAACAGAATTGCCCAGAAATAAACCCATGCCTATATGGTCAATTAATCTATGACAAAGAAGGCAAGAATATACAAGGGGGGGAAATAATCTCTTCAATAAATAGTGTTGTGAACACTAGACAGATACATGCCAAAAAAAACTAGACCACTTTCTTACACCAAATCCAATAATAAACTCTAAACGGATTAAAGACCAAATCTAAGAATAAACTCTAAATGGACCTGAAACTATAAAACTCCTAGAAGAAAATACAGCAGTCAATTTTTTTTACATCATTCTTGGCAGTATTTTTTTATATGTCTCCTCAGGCAAGGGGGAAAAAAGAAAAAAATAAACAAATGGGACTACATCAAACTAAAAAGTTTTTGCAAAGCAAAGGAAACCATCAACAAAGCAAGACAACATACTGAAAGGAAGAAAATATTTACCAATAATACATCTGATAAGGGGTTAATATCCAAAATAATATTTAAAGAACTCAAGACAACTCAACACCAATAAAACAAACAATCCAATTAAGAAATGAGCAGAGGCCCAGCTGGACGTGGCTCAGTGGTTGAGTATCGACCTAGGATCTAGGAGATCGTGGTTCGATTCCCGGTCAGGGCACATGCCCGGGTTGCGGGCTCAATCAATGACTCTCTCATCATTGATGTTTCTATCTCTGTCTCTCCCTCTCCCTCCCTCTCTCTGAAATCAATAAAGATATATTTAAAAAAAAAAAATGAGCAGAGGCCCAGCTGGACGTGGCTCAGCCGTTGAGCATCGACCTAGGATCTAGGAGATTGTGATTCAATTCCCGGTCAGGGTACATGCCTGGGTTTCACTCGATCCCCAGCAGGGGGCGTGCAGGAGGCAGCCCATCAATGACTCACGCTCCTCACTGATGTTTCTCTCTCTCTCTTCCTCTCTCTGAAATCAATGAAAGCATATTAAAAAAATAAAGCTGACATCTTTCAGGGGGGAAAAAAAGAAATATTTATTAGATGGGGGTGAAGGGAATTCTAAACTGATATTAAAGATATTTCTTGGGTAGAAAGACAGTATTATAAGCTGTAAGTTATACCTAAATTAACCTCAAAATGTAATATCCTTTTTTGGGGGGAGGAATATGGACAAAATATAAAGTCTCACATTAAATAAACTTCCAAGAAGAGCCAGGATAAATCAGGGGAGGAAGAGAATATTAAAACATTATATAACTAGTTATAAAAAGTAATTTGGTAGCAGAGAGAGAATAGAAAGGTGACATGCCAAATCAGTGGGAAAGATGGATTATTCCACAAATCATGGTAGATCAACAGGTTAGATACTGAGGATGTCAGACACAGGCATAGGGACAGAAGCCAGAGCCCTTCCTGGGATATCAGATTTAAATGTAAAAAAACAAAACCATGAGAATACTAGAAGGATGAATTTTTAAAAATTATTTTTTACCCTGGCCAGTGTGGCTCAGTTGGTTGTGCATCATCCTGTGAGCCAAGAGGTCCTCTGTTCAATTTCCGGTCAGGGCCCAAGTCCAGGTTGCGGAACTTGATCCCCGATAGGGAGTGTGCAGGGAGCAGCTGACAGATGTTTCTCATTGATTTTCTCTCTCTCCCTCTCCCTTCCTCTCCCTCTCTAAAATAAAAACATATTTTAAAAAATTATTGTTTGACGTGGGAAAGGTATTTATAAGCAAGACTTAAGCCCCAGAGGCCATAAAGAAAAACAATGATAAATATGATCATAAATATTGTGGCAAAAATTACCATCAATATATTTATCAAAAGATAAACAGGGAGAAAATAATTTATATCATATGCAAGACAAAGGGCTGATTTTCTTAATATACATAGAATTCTTATAAAATCAGTATGAAAAAGATGGAAAACACAAAATAAAAACTGGCAAAGAACAAACAGGTAGTTCTCAGAAAATAAGTCAAAATGACTAATAATATTAAAAGATACTCAGCTTCATTCATGATCAACACAATGCATAAAAATACAGACAATTTTTCATCTATCATGTTTAAAAAGACGAAAAGGTATAACATTGGCAAGTATATGGTGGGGTGTGTAAATTCAAAGAGCGATAAAAGGAGGAAATTTGGCAGCATTTTTCTTTTTTAAAAAAAGATATCTTCACTGATTTCAGAGAGAAAGGGAGAGGGGGAGAGAGAGAAACATCAATGATGAGAGAGTCATTGATCGGCTGCCTCCTGCAGGCCCTCAAATGGGGATTGAACCCGCAACCCAGGCATGTGCCCTGACCGGGAATTGAACCACAATCTCCTGGATCCTGGTCGATGCACAACTGCTGAGCCACGCCCAGCCAGCTGACAGCATTTTTTAATAATCCAAACTGCAAACACCCTTTGACTCAGTAAGTTATACAAACCTATAGGTATATTTTCACACCTAAGAAGATACCTTCACTGGACCAATGCTTGCAACAGAAAAACAAAAATAAGCAAAAAAATTGTAATAACCAATGAATGGCACCAGAGCATGAATAATAAGTTAGGGTACATTTATCAAGTAAAATGCTATACAACCATTAATAGGATGAGATAACTATGTACTGATAGGGAAAGATCTTCAAGACTATAAGTAAAAAGCAAGTTGCAGAGTAGTATATATACGATCCCATTTATTTAAAATATAAAGATTACATATTTGCTTTTTATGCATAAAAACTTTCTGAAGATTACAAAAGAAACTGTTGATAGATTAAGGTTACTTCTGGGAAATAAAACTGGGGGGTGAGATGCAAAGAGGAAGATTTCATTTTCATTTTGTAGCCTCCTATACTGTTCTGAGTTTTTCTTTTACCACATATACTTTTTAAAATATAAAGTTGAGGAGGGATTCTCCTAGAGATTGTGAACCATTCTTTTAAGTACATTTCTCTAAGATCTGTACCTGATTTTTTTCAAGGCAAACTGACTTGAGGTTCTCCAAGTTTTTGCAAATATATTTCTAATAGTTAATAGTAGAGTCACACCCAATTGACAGGTTTTTTTGTTTATGTTTAAATCACACATTGCTGTATTTTTAAAGATGACAAATCTTTACTTAAATGGAATGCTTGCTGGATTTTTCTTTTTCAAGCTCACTTTTTAAATTATGGAAGTAATATGATCATTGCAGAAAATCGAGAGAAAATATAAGGGTGCAAAAAACAGAACTAAAATTACATATAACCTCTTACCACTGTTAACGTTTGGTGAGTTTTCTTTTTTCTTTGCATTATGTTAATGCATAGTAGTGTTTATATTTAAAATGTGTTTACAAAGCTAAGTTCATACTGTACCTACAGCTCTGTATCCTGCTCCCCACCCCTCAATATATATCAGGTACTCAATAAATGTATTAAAAATTGAATTGTTGAATTACTATTGTACCATTTCTCCTCATCAAAAGTTTTTTCTGCACAAGGCATTAGTTGGTTCCTAGTTCTTAGGTAAAATAAATAACAACAAATATATTTATACCTAAAGTTTTTCTGCATTTATGATCGTTCCTTTGGAAAATGTATGGGATCAAAGAACAAGAAATATTTGTTTCTGATAATGTTTTTCAAAAAGGTTATACCNTATATTTATACCTAAACTTTTTCTGCATTTATGATCGTTCCTTTGGAAAATGTATGGGATCAAAGAACAAGAAATATTTGTTTCTGATAATGTTTTTCAAAAAGGTTATACCAGCTTTTACTTCTACCACCAGCATAGCCTGTCTCAGTTTCCTCGCCAACAATTACTATTACCATTTTAAAATGTCATTTCATAGGTGAAAAACAGAAAGTTTGCTGAGAAAATTTCTCCCTCACATTACAAAATGAAGTCCTTCTAAATGTTCACTCAAGAGTGGTATCTTCCAACCTAAAGACAGGTTAAAAGATGAACTGTCAAGTTTACTCCCTTTTTCAAACATTATTAGTTTAGTGGATTCCACTACCAAAAACATGGATAAAGTAGCATGTAAGTCAGTCTAAGAATCTCTTTAAAGTTCTTAAGAATAACTAAATGAGCAAAAGGCATATCTTTATTCCTTTCTTCTTGTCCTACACTACAAGTGCTTCAGGTCTTTGAAGTGTGATTACTGACAACAAAACTTCAGTATAAAGGTGAGAGGACTAGTTGTAGATTAGTTATTGTTTTACATCTAATAAGAACAAAAATCATTACCATTACGCAGTGATGCCTCACTGACATAGCATCAATGTGTGTCAGAAAATTTCTTCCTCCAGGGCAATACTGGGGGTAAATCCAGACACATGACCTCAAAAGAGCCCTGTGCAACAAAAAGATGCTAGGATAACAAAACTTAAAAATAAGATCATTCTGATTTTTGGAAAAGATTTTTTATTCAGTGTTTAAGATTAAAAACTACAAGATTTTGCTTGCAGCTGATGAGCAGAAAAAGAAAAAAGAAACATAAATTATCATCTGATTGGCTAGTTAAAATGCTCTGACTCAGAGTCAAATTACTCAGTGACTGTACAGTTACTTTGTGTGGGCTTAGGAGTTCTAGAGCAGAATAGCTCTGAACAAAACGTATCATCTGAGAGCACAGGGCTAAAGGGCATCTGAAATGCTGAATAAGAAAGCTGATAAACGGAGGTTGTGGCAGACCTTTTGATTCTTTTAGGCTTCTAGTAGTTGGTTACCATATGCGAGGACCTAGCAGTGAGTTATTTTATCTCTTGACGTGTCTGAGTTAAACAACTTTAACCCACTAAGCAGGAATAGAGACACTTTATACATCAGTTAGAAAACATAAAATAGTCCCACCTCTCCAGGAGAATTTTAGTTGAATTAAATCATAAGAGACACAATGATTATTGCACATAATGTACTTGTCACACTACATCTGTTGAGTAGAATTTCCATTCCAAGTGTTGTTTTCATCTTCACCATCATCTTGAGTCCTCAATCTATAGATCTTCCCCTCCTTTTTAAAGTCTTCCCCCCGTTTCTCCAGCACTCTTTTTCTGACAGGTTCCCTGGTATAACAAAAGAGGGAGAAAAGAGAAGATGACATAAAATGAAAACAGCAGTAACACAAAGCTGTTTCCTTTACAATTCCATTACTACAGGCAATGATATTTCAAGGAAAGCTCATGGGAGATAATGATATCTACTACTACACTACTAGGCTTTAAATGTTTTTGGCAATTTAACTTCATCTGTTCTCCAAGACAAACCAGCTAAATCATATTTTCTATTTCCATGTATTTTTTTTCAATATATCTTTATTGATTTCGGGGGGGGGGGAGAGAGAGAGAGAAAAACATCTATGAGAGAGTCGTCACTGATCAGCTGCCTCCTGCACGCCCCGACTGGGGATCAAGCCCATAATCCAGGTATGTGCCCTGACCAGGAATCAAACCGTGACCTCNTGGGGGGGGGGAGAGAGAGAGAGAGAAACATCTATGAGAGAGTCGTCACTGATCAGCTGCCTCCTGCACGCCCCGACTGGGGATCAAGCCCATAATCCAGGTATGTGCCCTGACCAGGAATCAAACCGTGACCTCCTGGATCCTAGGTCAATGCTCAACCACTGAGCCACAGCCGGCCTGGTTCCATGTATTTCTTGATGAGTTACTAAGCTTTAGAAGAGCAGGGACTATCTGCCAACTAATCTTTCCTTTACAATTTATGCAAGATGATATATTTACTAAAATATTTATAACTTACACAGTATCCTAGAAGGTATCCAAGGCTCCAATCATAGCCTAACTTACAGAAATGGTCAATTTGCAGTTTTTTATCTTTTTTATAATGTTTAATAATTTATACAATTAAGAACAGGACTTCTTCATCTAAAAATGGGAAGGAAATGGGTGAAATTTAAGGTAATTCATTCTCCAACACCAGAGGGGAAGAGAGCAAAAAGAAAACAGGAAAACCAATAGTGGAACACAAAGTTTTGCCTCTCATATATGCATTCAACCCATCCTTTGCCCCAGCACAAGTCCTGTTCCTTTATTTGAAAAATGTTTTAAAAACCCACACAGCAAGGTATCTGATACTACAGTAACTCCGGATTAAATGCTTCCACTCATTGCTCAGTAAGAGTTCTAAAGTTCAGCATTTACAGGGCCTAGTTTAAATGCTGTTCTAAGACTAGAGAATTTTCCTGTCTCATTTGAGTAATGTACTAAGGCTATAATTGGTCCTCCTGCCTAATAGTTAAGGAAGAAATAAAAGCTAAATAAGCCCAATGACAATATTTATACAAATCTTCATCTAGAGCAGGGGTGGGGAACATCCAGCCCATGGGCCAAATTCACTTGGTGTGGCCCTGCAAAAGCAACAGCAGGCAAGACTTGAAATTCAATAAATCTAGGAACTTTTTTCATAGTTTAATTGATTTCAGAGAGGAAGGGAGAGGGAGAGGGAGAGGGAGAGACAGAAACATCAATGGTGAGAGAAAGTCATTGATGGACTGCCTCCTGCACGCCCCTTCCTGGGGATCGAGCCTGAAACCCGGGCATGTGCTCTGACTGGGAATGGAATAGTGATCTCCTGGATCATAGGTTGGTGCTCAACCGCTGAGCCATGCCAGCCGGGCTGGACTAGATTTTAGAAAGACGGCTGAGGCAACTCAGGTAAATGAACTTCCCTGGAGAGATGATACAATAAACCTTCAGAACATTTGGGGGTTTTCCCATATACAGAAAGAAGACAAAGGACCTTTGACAAAATTTTTCATTTTGAATAAGGTACTGGCATTACTAACATTTTGCAAATGAGCAAAACACAAACAGATACCTGTTTTCTGAATTGCTAGATGATGCAAGATTTGAGGATTCTGGAGATGCTGCTCTCACTGAGGTCTGTGCAGGAGGAGGATTACTAAATAAGAAGTTGCTGATCAATCTCCAGATGGCAAGGAATGGGTAAAGTACTGTCCCCAACAGTGTCCAAAAGTCTCCACTGGAAGAATGTACCATAGATGTAGTTGGTCTTCCTGCCTAAAAATTAAGAAATAAACCTAGATAAAGACTACATCAGCCCAATGACATCACACTTGAAGTTCTAGGTGAATCTTTTATCTGAAAAAGTCCTACTAATTTTAGTTTACTGCAAGAAGGGAAATTACCAACTTTGCTGTTTTCCAGGTGTATATAAACTTCTGGGAACCCCTGGAACTCTACTTTTAAAGGAGTAATCACAACACAGAAACCAGAAAGTAGTTTTTGGTAAAATGAACCAATTATTTTTAAGAGAACTAAACTTTTGTATTTAAATTAGTAACTTTGATAACAAAGTTCTTCCTTAATTATGAAAAAAAAAGGGAGAACGTTTCAAGCCTCAGTGAATACAATTAATCCTAGCTACTGGCGGGCCAACTTTTTCAGGTGTGGGGCTCTAGCTCAGAGCAGGGAAAACTATACTAACCCAGACACAGAAGACCCAGCTCTCATCCCAGCTCTGGCACTTCAGCAAAGTCATTTAAGCTTTCTGAGTCTCTTTTCCTCATCAGAGATTAAAATACTGTTGTAAGGATCAAATGGAATTAATATGTTAAAGATTAATGTTATTTTCATGTTGAAATGTTTTTTAAAAACTTGGTAAAAAGAAAAGTAGTACACAAATAAAAACACTAAGTCTGTAGATTGGATATTCTGCATTTCTTATTTTCTTCTCCTATTGGTCATTTTTGTCCATGAAAATAGGCGGGGGGAAAAGTTGAAAATTAAACTAGTGCCTCACTAGCAATAAAAATACATAAAGCACAGGATAATGGAACAATAAACTGATCTAACATTTTTGGATAATGTAGATTTTAATTATCCACAATACACCATTCACCTTCCCTTCCTCTAATTATAGGAAACAATCAAGAGTAGAACAAACAGCACTGTAAGAATAGAATAAATATATATGTATATACATACGGGCAACAGAACCACTGAAGCACTTGGGGCAAGTTCCAAATCCAATAATTTCTTTTTATAATCTTCTTTGGTAAACTCTCTCCTGGGAAACATGGTTGCTAATGAAAAATTACCATAAGTGTTGCCAACAGTCTGTAACATAACAATAAGTTTAAAAACATTAAAATGGTGCCTTTTAAAAAGATATTATACACTCATATACATCTAAAACGACTGCTTTAAATAAAATTGCCTTGATTTTAAAAGTTCATGTAAATGTAAACTCAAAAAACATTTCTAAAAACTGGGTGTAGCTGAAAGTTGTCAAATCCAAATAGTACTTAAAAGCTTTTATAACTCAAAAATGACCATAAAATAGTAAGAATATAGTTCCTAAAACCATATGAACAAACTGAATAAAAATGAATTGGATATCTCTTTGTAAAAAACTGAATAAAAATGAACAATTAGATATCTCTTTTTAACAAACCAAATAAAAATGAACAATCAGCTGTCTCTTTTTAAGTACGGCTGCAGTTTGCCATGAGAGTTTTCACTGTCCTTATACTTTTACTAGTATCTCACGAATACACTGGATTATAGGTATACCCTATTAAAAATCTGGAACAGACAAGAATTTCCCTCATATATATAACATTAGGAGTTTTTGCCTCCTCCTCTCAAAGAATAAATGGTCCATAATCAACCCACACCATACATACAATCCTAGACCCAGGAAATTACATTCAGCAGCATCACAGAGCCACCCTCATCATTTTAAGCCGCTCATACTTGTTAAATCTTAAGACAACTGTTTATCTAGAAGATTCCAAAGAAAAAGACTAACACTTCTGTTTTTTTGTAATTTTCCACTGTAGGTCATATACATACCTCTCATTGTTCTCACTCTAATATAAGAACATACACCAACACAAAATCAAGTTATCCTACTGGGGAGAAGTTCCAATAGGACGGATGCAATCAAAGATCTTTTTTTTCCCCCTCATGTGGCTCCCCTTTCTTCACTTACCTGTGGCAGAAGCAGTAAGACTCAGGTCAGGGGCACTCCTTCTTGGAAGGCCCCAGGTGGGGTTCCAAGGCAAAAGAAGAATGAAAGCGGCTATTTGGGTTAGTTCTACTATAAAGCTTAGGGAAAAAGAGTTCTTAAAATAATTTTTATATTGTCCAGCCCAGCTCACCAGTGGAGGAAGGCAGACAGCAGGTATCCCCCTCTTGGGACCCATAAGTGAGATAGCAGGCTAAATGCAGAGAAGAGATCTAGTGGAAAGATCTGAACTCTAATTTTAACACTGATGATGCATGAGACAAATACTAGTACATATGAGCCCAGATCCTATAGGACACCTGATGTCTAAAATCAATTGAGTAAGAAATCAATCAGAAAATAAAAACTAATTGGAAGTTACTCATATCTTACTTTCTAAGTTATCAAATTTCACACCCATGTCGATTATACAGTAAAACCACGTTCTGGAAGTAAATTCCTAAAGATACTTGTTGCCAAATAAAGATTATTGGTCTTTAAGCTTGGACAACTGGCAGATGGTGGGAAAATGGCCAGCTCAAAAGCATTCTAAGCAACCTGCAGAAAATGTGGAGAGGACCAAGAAATACTGCATCCTTTCTACCAGGGACAACTCCCTCAGAATAGATCTCTGGAAAATCATTTGATTTTCACTCCTTCAGCTGAGTGGACTAAGCAGTGAAAAAAGTTTTCAGAGCTTATTGTACAACATCAGCAAATTCCTATTTTTTGTACAACAAGCAGATATGCTATTCCCATGTGGCACTACTACATGATAGAAGCTCCACAACATCCCAGAGTTGTCCTGTGCCTCCCTCCTGGGGACAAGTCATGACTTATTCACATTCTTCAAGTCCTACTTGAAAATGTTCTCCTCTTACATTTTAATAACCTATTCATCTACCTTTACTACAACTCAAGACAAATTTACCTGTGCAGCAAACTGCCTTGCCTCTTCTAGAGGTGCATCAGAAGGGAACTGATTTGTAAAGGAAGAACCATCAGGAAGACGAAACTGAATTCTTGCAACGGTGCTATGAAAAAAAAAAATTTAAATCAGCATCTTTACCACTACATATTCTCAAACATCATCGAAAGTTAGAGAAAATGGAAGTGAAAAACACAATGAAAATAGTTTTTATTTCACAATGTTAATCTTTTTGTTTATATTTTTTAAGAACAGCTTTACTGAGATGTAATTCACATAAAGTTCACCCTCTCAAAGCATACAATTCAGTTTTTCAAAAAATATATCTTTACTGATTTCAGAGAGAAGAAGGGAGAGGGAGCGAGTTGAAACAACAACTGTAAGAGAGTCATCATTGATCAGCTGCCTCCTACACGCCCCCGAATGGGGATCAAGCCTGCAACCCGGGCATGTGCCCTGACCGGGAATTGAACCAAGATCTCCTAGATCCCAGGCTGACGCTCAACCGTTGAGCCACACCCAGCCAGGCAGACATTTTTAATATAGTCAGAGTTGTGCAATCATCACCAATCTCTAGTTCCAGCACATTTTTACCACCCCAAAAAGAAACCCCAAATGCATTGTATTCCTCTCTCACCTAACTCTGGCAACACTAATCTATTTTCTGAATCTGTAAGTTTTGCCTACTTTGGACATTTTTTTTAAATATATTTTTTATTGATTTCAGAGAGTGGGGGAGAGAGGGAGAGAAACATCAGTGATTACAGTCACAATCGGCTGCCTCCTGCACATCCCCTGCTGGGGATCAAGCCCCCAACTCAGACATATGCCCTGACCAGGAATCGAACCGTAATCTCCTGGATCCTAGGTCGATGCTCAACCGCTGAGCCAAGCCTGGCCGGGCAAAGCACAAAATTTTTAAATTTTGATTAAGTGCAACTTATCTATTGCTTTCTTCTGTTGTTTTTTTTTTCTGTTTTTTTTTGTGTTTTTAAAAAAATATATCTTTATAGATTTCAGAGACAGGAAAGGAGAGGGAGAGAGAGAAAAACATTAATGATGAGAGTCAATGATTGGTGGTCTCCTGCACGTCCCGCTGCTGGGGATCGAGCCCCAACCTGGGCATGTGCCCTGACTAGGAATCGAACTGAGATCTCCTGGATCATAGGTTGATGCTCAATTTCTGAGCCACACCAGCAGGGCTGTTGCTTGTGTTTTTAATATCCTGTCTAAGAATCCACTGCCTATTCCAAGATCACAACATTACCTTTTTTCCCCCACTAAGATTTTATATACTTTTAACTTTTACATTTAGGTAGATGATCCATTCTGAGTTAATTTGTATTTGTTTTTGTTTTTTAGTGTGAGGTAAGAGTCCAAATTCATTCTTTTACATGTGGATATCCACTTGTCCAAGTACCATTGGTTGAAAAGACTATTCTTTCCCCACTGAACGGTCATGGTACCTTTTTCAAAAATACATTCATCATAAATGCACAGGTTTATTTCTAGAGACTCAATTCTATTACATGATCCATCCTTATGCCAATTCCACATTGTCTTGGTTACTAAAGCCAGAAAGACTGAGTCTTCCAACTTTGTTCTTTTTCCAGATTGTTTTGACAATTCTGAATCCCTTGCATTTCCATATGAATTTCAGGATCAGATTCCTGAAAAAATCTTGACCAAAAAATCTGGGATTTTGATAGGGACTGTATAGAATCTGCAAATCAGTATGGGAAGAAGTACTGCCATCTTAACAAAAGTCCAAGACTTGTACAATGAAAACTAGAAACATTGTTGAAACAATTAAAACCTAAATATAATTGTTAAGTGTATCACTCTCCCTTTGGTAACACAATGGGACCTTTCTCCTCCCCTCCCTTTTCTTCCCCCAGAGGAGATTTTCTAGTCTCTCTCTTTCTCCTAAGCTCCAACAGCCCTTCTTCTGCTTCTGTAACTTGTTTCCTAAGCCCATTTCTTCTACCATTCATTTCTTCTACCTCTGTGACTTTCTAAATAAACTTTCTCTTATAAAAATAAAAATACTGTTAGGTATATTCATAAGTATTTTATTACTTTTAGAAATAGTTCTTGGGAGAAACAAGATGGTGGCATAGGTAACAGCTGCACCCGCTGTCTCCCACAACCACATCAAAATGACAACTAAAATACAGAACTACCATCACTCAGAGCCTACTGAGATCTGGCTGAACAGAAGCTCTACAACCAGGGAACTAAAGGAGCATCGAGACCGGTAGGAGGGGCGGTGACGCGGGCGGATTCGGGCTGGATCCCGGAGATGCAGCCGAGAGCCCACACCTGGTGCCGCGGTTGAAACCCCGGAGGGAACCTCGGCGGTGGGGGTTTCCCGGAGGAGAGAGGGGTCCCAGCCCCACAACAGGCCCCCATCCCAGGGCTCCAGGGCCAGGAAGAGACATCCCCACAACTCCAGGCTGTGAAACGAGTAGGGACTGTCTCTGAGGGTCCCAGAGGCTCTGCTTAAAGGGCACGCGCAGCGACTCACTAGGACGCGCTCCCTCTGAGCCCAGCGCCGGGCAGCAGCCTGAAAGGAACCTGGGACACTCAGGGAGGAACTAATCTGCCTGAAATCCCGGAAAGAGCTGAAGGGGAAGCTTTCTCCCAGGCAGAANAGGGAGGAACTAATTTGCCTGAAATCCCGGAAAGAGCTGAAGGGGAAGCTTTCTCCCAGGCAGAAGGGCTGGCAGAGGCCACTGCCCCTTTGGTGAGTCCTCCCCACACACAGCCGGCAGGCAGGCACCATATTTGAATCGCCAGCACCTGACTCACACCTTTGGCCCCGCCCCTCCCTACCTGCAAGCTCATCCAGGCCATTTCCAGGGAATTTTCTCTGCAAGTGGCCTCTCAAGCCTTATGCTTAGGACTTTCCTAAAATCTCTCAAACAGGCAGCAGTGTGCCCCATACAGCTTGATACATGGCCCTAGGCCTGGCATTAGCGGCAGCCTGCATTGGCTCACAGCTTGGCCTCTCCTGGACACCTCCAAGCCCAGCCCAAGTAGCAGCCATCTACGGTTTGCTGTGTAGCTCAGGCTGGGTGGCCCTGGGCAAGGCACTGGCACAGGCTGACTTTGTACCTCCCAGGGGGCCTCAGAGACAGTGCACCTGGTGGTCAGACTCGACCACGCTGGATTACAACCCTGCCACATCCACGAGTGACACACTCAACGGGCGCACTTGATGAACATCAAAGTTCCACTGAAGTAAATCCTGCTCCATAGGGGTGTTTCCAGCACAGCAGCTCTCTGGCCGTAGTTGCAGCTGGTCCTCACAGCTGATTAGTCTGGGGGTCAGATCCTCCCAGGGACATCAACAGCAACCAAGGCTCAACTACAACAGGACAGTGAGCACAGTCCACAAAGGGGAGCACCTAGAAGGCCCAGCTCAGGTGACTGGGGAGGCTGAGCCACTGGACCC